GTTTCCTCATTATAAAGAGGGAGTCCTGGTGTGGCACTGTAGAATAACCACTAAATCGCAAAGTCAGTTTGAACCATGAGGTCGGCAGTTCAAACTTACCAGTCACTCCTTGAAAAGCCTATACAGGGTAGCTATGAGTCAGAACTGACTCGATGACATTTAACAACAACAACATCATCATAAAGAGAAGAATCTACAATAAATTATTGCCCTTTCAGCAATAACATTGAAGAATATTGTGATAATAAGATTTTAGCGGCAACTGTTTTTTGCTTGTTTTTAAGATTTTGTAGAGAAAAGATTTAATCTGAATCAATAAACAAAGCTAGTAGAATAATGGGCTGCAGAATGCAAAAATGTGGTCTTTCGTCTTCTACTACAATATATACTTTGAAATAAGTGACCACATAAGCTCCTTTAACAAACAGGAAAAAACATATTTGTAATTAGTAACTTCCATCTACAAAACAAAACAAAACAAACAAAACCACTGAAGGGCCGGGCTTGATGGTGTATAAGGGTAAAGGTGCAGTGAAGTTAGCCATCAGCAATACCACAGAATACCAGGTGAAGAGGGTTCAGGGCAGAGCTCCAAAACTCTGAACCACATATCTAGGAATATTTTAAAAGTTTGAAGACTTACAGCTAGTGGAACTTGTAGCAGGAGTAAAAAATCGCATTTTTTTTAATCTGCCTGGCTTGGTGGCCCAGAGCTGACAACTTGGGCGAGACCAAACAGCAAGACCAAGGGTGGGAACAGACCCACCACAGAATAACGTCACGGAACCTCGGAGCAAAGGTGGACAATATACTTTTTCAGTTTCGCTTTGTTCTGATTTTTTTTTTTTCTTTTGGTATCTGTCCACTGGGCCCCCCACTGTTTGCATACCTCCATTCTGGTGACTAGACGGGGAGCCTGAGACTGCCACCACTGGTGGATTCTTCTGCCACGCATGAACACAGATACTCTCAGCTCAAGAGCTGGCCCTGAACTGTTTTTTTACTAGCAAAAAGGGCAGAACAAGGGGTGTGGAGAGGGAGAGTGTAAAAACAAAATAGGCCAAAAATGAAATTAAATCCTGAGGTACACCATAACAACCAACAGTGGCATCATGAAATTTATCAGGCATCTTTGAAGGCAAGAAGTTGAAAAAGGGCATTAAAGTCATACTCATATTGTTGTTATTGTTGTTATGTGCCACAGAGTCAGTTCCGACTCATAGCGACCCTGTACAGGGTTTCTGAGGCTGTAAATCTTTACGGGAGCTGAAAGCCTCATCTTTCTCCTGTGGAACAGCTGGTAGTTTAGAACTGCTGACCTTGCAGTTCGCAGCCTGATTTGTAACCACTACGCTACCAGAGATTTGTTTTTACCTCTTCTCTCCCTCCTCTCCTTTTTCTTCGATTATAGACTACAGTATCCAATCTAGCTTTTTTGTTGTTGTTGTTGTTTTCTGTTTTGTTTTGTTTTTCTTTTTCTTTTTTTTTTTTTTTTTTTTTTTTTTTTTTTTTTTTTTTTTGCTCTTGCTGTTTCATGTTCCCCCTTTTACCTTTGGGGGATTCTTTCTCTCCCTATATTACCCAAAAAGAGACAGCAACTGATGCCATATAGTCAAGCTACAATCACACTCTATAAAACACCAAAATCCAGGCAAGAACCAATACCAATTGCCATACACCAGGGAGGCAGACAACACCTGTGAAATTTACTCTGAGTCAAGCAATAAGAAGAGTGAAAAGAGAAGCCCACATCCTAATCACATCTTCCTGAAGGCAATCAGAAAGCATAAAAGAAATACCAAAACACACATTCAATTAACTAACTAATAAGGCCACACATAAACACTAAACATGTCCAAGAAGCAAAAGCAGATGACCATATCAGCACATGTCCAGAAACAAGATAAAATGTCTGAGACAAATGACTTAAAGGTAGACCTGGACTCCATTCTGGAAGGAGGGCAGCCCTTGAAAATGTCTGAGAAGGAATTCAGAAAAATGATTATAAAATGTTTCAAAACATACTAAAAATTAAAAACCTATGTGCATCAAAAGACTTCACCAAAGAATGAAAAGGGAACCCATAGAATGGGAAAAAATCTTTTGCAATGACACATCAGACAAGAGACTCATTTCTAAATTATATAGGAAACTACAACACCTCTACAAGAAAAAGACAAATAACCCAATTAAAAAGTGGGCACAGGACATGAACAGACACTTCACCGAGGAGATCATGGCAGCCAACAAACACATGAGGAAATGTTCATGCTCACTAGCCATCAGAGAGATGTAACTCAAAACAACAATGAGACATCATCTCACACCAGCAATAACAGCAAAGATCAAAAAAGTAGAGGACAAAAAGTGCTGGTAGGGATGTGGAGAGACTGGGACACTCCTTCCTGCATTGCTGGTGGGATTGCAAAACATTCCAACCTCTCTGTAAAGCAATATAGCGTTTCCTCAGAAGGTTGGAAATAGAAATAAATACCTTATGATCCAGCAATTCTTCTACTTGATATTTACCCACAAGAAATATGAGCCATAACACAAATAGATATATGCACACCAATGTTCAAGCAGCACTATTTACAACAGCAAAAAGATAGAGACAGCCCATCAACTGAAGAATGGATAAACAAGCTGTGGTACATACACACAATGGAATATTATGTTACATTGAAGAACAACAAGGAAGCTGTAAGTTATCACATAACATGGATGAACCTTGAGGACATTTTGTTGAGAGAAATTAGTCAGTCACAAAAGGAAAAATACTGCATAGGACCACTACTGTAAAAGACTAAGAAAAAGAGCCCATACTGAAGGGGGGGCAGGGGAAGTCATTGCTAGTTACTGGGATGTGAGGGGTGGGGTGAGGGGTGGGAGGGAAAGGTGGATCACAGGATAGGGACTAGACACAGGATAGTTTGGGTGCTAGGGAGGAGGGCAATACACAAGAAGGGGGAGGGGAATGGAAGAACAAGGCGGATGGGAAAACAATTAGGCAGGTTTGCATGGGCTAAGCGAGACAGAGATAAATAATGATGTATGCACAACCTTGGAACAATAGGGCTCTAGGATACAGGGATTGA